ATCCCACCAAACAATTTGTGTTGCCGGCAATAAGAAAACGTGTCGCCCTCGGAAACAAATTTATTGCCGGTAATATTGCCATCGAATCGATTTCCTATTACCGGTCGCTCTAAAACGTCCGCCGAAGGCAACACGCCTGGGCGAGTCGTTTTCTTATTACCTGAATGAGTCCTTTTCTTATCGCTTCAGGCGATATTTGGAATAATTTTATTCTTTTTAATACTTCATTTATTTTTTTGTATACCAAATCGCAACTTACAATCGGAAATAATTAATTTTCTCGCTGTGAGGCTTCCTATTTCTTCAATCTTGTCCTTGGGCATAATTTAGATGCTTTTGGCCAATACTATTGACGGCATATTCATAAGTTTCGGAATTTTTGAGAACTTTTTTATTCAAAATTGACATGAACGGAGTGATGTTGCCGATTTGTCACCACAGCAATAAATCGGTGAGTCGCCAATTTGTTGCCATTGACGATTGTTACCTATTTCTCATATTTTGCATGGTGGGCAATTTATTTTCACTTTGTTTGAATATTGTAATGTCGACACAAATATCAGAACAGCTAAGTATGTAGCATTAAACGAAAACTTCCAAAAATACTCAAAAAATACTTGTGTAGCAACATCTTTTTTTGTGGAAGTTTAACAGCATGGTGTTGCTGATTTATGTTCCTCCTTTTTTTCGGAACATAATTTGTTTGAGTACTTTTTTTTATGTATACAGCGCTCAATATCTTCACTTCTCTTCCTTCCATGCGCTCTTTGTTAGAGTATGAGTACTTTAAATATTTGAAAAAAACTTCACAGTGAAGCAAACTGAATTCCGATGCAGACCTTTAGTACATATGAAGAACCCAACAAAAACTTTGATTCTTTGGCAAGCGCTTACTTTTTGTATCGATGGAGTAACGCATTACAATACGCCTCAAGATAAGGTTAATGGTAATGCAGTGGGAAAGCAGTGTGTGGTGAATCTCGATAAGCACTTTTCGAAATTCACCACACACCTTCTAGTTTACAGAACACATTACTTAAACCTGGGCATGTCATTGGAGGGAAGCGAGAAATTGTAAAAATGCAGTGGGTAAGCGAGAAAGTGAAAAATTTGGTTTTGAGGCGTATTGTAATGCGTTACTCTATCGATACAAAATGTAAGCGCTTACCAAGAAAAGAAAAGTTTTTGCTGGGTATGTACAAACATTTGTATACTTATTTATATGTATGCGCAGATAATAAATACTTAGCCTACCCTAACTACTAGTAAAAATGCGTTACCGTTAAAAGTCTATTGCATTTGAGAAGGGGGCCTGCTAGTTTTTATAGACACGAGTTGCCACACAATACAATGTAAATTCAAATGATAATATGCAAGAATCACGTTATGTTTCTTATAGAGTTCTCATTCCCTCAGGCCCTATCTCATATCGTCGATGAAATGCAAAAAAGCCGTTATTGAAAAAATCACTGTATGCACATTTTGTACATACATATTTATTTTCAAGACTGATTATATTATGTCAGGATGATTAATAAAGATATATTTAAATATGCACATAAATATGTATATGATATTTATATTTTTTTTAATAAACAATGTACACGTATTAAATTGAAAACTTTAATTATTAAATTCTTTTAAATTCAAGGCATATTCAGTTCCTGTAAGAGTAAAAAAATATAATTATCACGTTTTAACTTCCAGTTTTCTATATTTGTTTTAGGCCCTATTGGAAAATTATAAAAAAAAATATGTATGCGGTTTTGAAGCTCATTAAATTTTAGTACAATGAAGTTAAAGTTTGATGTTGCTGAAAAATCCTTTGATTTTTGATATTTTTTTTTTATTTTTTATCGTTAACGACAACAGCTGATTTGGCGATAACGAATGTTGTTTAGGGCCTTGTCACACGGTCAGTAATGATCACGATATTTGGATCGCGATCCATATTGATGGATTGATGGATCGCGCACGAATGCTACATGTTCAATATTTATCGCGTCAGTATTTGCATAATTTTTGGTGCTGAACGCTTATTATGACGCAAGAAAATTGTTTTATTTTGTACGAATAATCTACAGATAATGCATTCCACAAATATTTTAAAATTTCCAATGTTAATTCAAATTGTTTCAATTTGTTCTAAAAGGTTTTAAGCAACGGAAGCGAAGGCATAGGGAATACGTTTTCGATGTTGGCATTGTGAGTGTTTAAGATGTACTGACGAAATGTATCGATCGCGTTTTGAAAGTGCTACACGTTCAATATTTATTGACAGTATTGCGATCCGCGATCCAGATTTCAAAATTTTTAGAGATGTTGCGATATGGGTCACGATCCATCAATACTGCATGCTACACCGTCAATAAATATCGCGATACTTGGATCACGTTAATAAATACTGACCGTGTGGCAAGGCCCTTAGGAAAACGTTTACTGAATAGCTAAATTGTTAAAATTGTCATTTAGCTGACTTAACAATAACAAGAGTTGTTAAAATCGCGGAGTGAATCGCACCACTGGTTAAAAGTCAAGGAAATGATAAATATAAAAATGAAAAGATCAGAAATATAGAGAAAATAATAAAGATAAAGGTGGAGACAAAGAAAGAGAAAAATAAAAGGATAAAATTGAAGAGTGACATGTTATGTTGTGTTGTGTTGTGTTATATCCTGTTATGTTGCTCAACGCATTTTACCTCATTTTACTTCCAAGTAACTCAACTAAACTCAACTCGGCTCAGCTTAGGCCACCTCAACTCATCTCAATTTTAGATGTTGAATTTCAACCGCTGGCCGAACACTAGTGTATATAAAACAAGTAATTTTTAAGCAAAAACCAAAACCGACTTCAATTCTCATATAATTTTCTTTATGATCCAATGATCAGATGTAAGCCAAATAGAGTCGCTAAAAATTGTCGTTAATTTATTTAGAATTTTTTTTTTTTTGGTGGATCACACGTTATATGGAAAAAAATGCGCAAACCCCCCACCAATGAAATTCTAAAAAAATCAACGGTAATTTTTAGCGACTCGAAACTTACACTTTATTAGACTAAAATTCAATGGGCTACAAAACTGCATACCCGATTTTTTTTTAAATATTCTGATTAATAATTTGGAAATTTTGATGACAATTTTTTTAAGTTTAAGATTAAGTTGTTTGAAAGTTGTAAAAGCTTTGAAACTTTTATTTATGTTATTTTCGTTTTAGACTGAATTATATTTTAAATGAAAATTTTTAAAAATAAATAAATAAACGTAAGTGGCAAACAATATCATTTTGAATTTCGGTGCTAATTAGTTGAACGCAGGTGTATGTTCTAAGGTATTTAATCCTTGAAATGTAATTTATAATCTTATAACAGGATTCTACATATCGTTGCATTTTTCTCAAAAGTGTATTAATTCAGTATTTAATTTATCTTATCACTGAATAAAATTTTTCAGATTTCTTTAGTTTGATACCCGTATTGTAATATTTCATTATATCAATTTGATAATTGAATAACATTTTTCAAACAGGTGGCAACCCTCCCCAAAAATATTTTTGGTTGTAAACCTCTCAAAACCTTTTTAGGCATTCAATTCCATGTATTAGTTTTCGAGTGATGCGCGTACAAACATACAGACACACATACAAAAATTTTTAAAATTGTTGATTTGGCTTCTGTTACTCTAATAAATACCCACCCCACATATTAATTTTTCTTTACTTAATATCTGTAATGTACAGACATCGGCCTGATACAATTTATTATATGTATAGATTTACGAACAACGAAAAGAACAATTTCTATTAATTTCTCATTGCCATCACTACGGTCAGTATACAAAATACTTCTTCTTCTTCTTATTTGGCGCTGTAACCGCCTAAGCGATTTTGGCCGAGTTCAACAAAGCACGCCAGTCGTTTCCCTTCTCTGCCAGCTGACGCCAATTGGAAATGCCAAGTGAAGCCAAGCCCTTCTCCACCTGGTCTTTCCATCGCAGTGGGGGCCTGCCTCTTCCTCTGCTACCACCACCGGGTTCCGAGTTGAATACTTTCAGAGCTGGAGCGTTGGTGTCCATTCGAAAGACCTGGCCAAGCCAGCGGAGCCGCTGTATTTTAACTCGTACCATCGTCTGCGTTACTCGCCGTCGCCAACGCGTAAAGGCCCCTCTCGAATACCCCAAGAGGGCCGCCTCATCGGTTGTTGTCGTTGTCCATGCTTCTGCGCCATATACCAGCACGGGCATGATGAGTGACTTATAGAGTGTGGTTTTCGTACGTAGAGAGAGGACTTTACTCCTGAATTGCCTACTCAACAAAATAGGAGCTTTCGCGGTTTCTCAAAATTAAATGCTTTTTCCAGTAAAGTTTAATGAATATTGTTTGGAATGAGTAAACAAAGATTTTGCGTCCAAAATTTTTGCCGCGGGAAATTTTTATATTTACATATCGTTACCTTAATATAGAAAGGCCCTATCTCACATCGTGGCTGAAATTCAAAAAGCCGTAACCACCCAAGGATATACGAATTTAAACGAATATGTTTTTTTCTTTTCTTTTTCAGGGTGCTGGCAAGGAGATTCGGGAGGCCATTGCTGATCCTTCACCGAAATGTCAGGAAAAAGCGTGGGATGCAGTTTTGCCTTTGGTAAAGAAGCTGAAGAGGTGCTATGAGCACTCACTGGAACTAGAAAAGATCGTCCCGAAATTGTTGGGCCAACTAGTTGGAGGCAAACTGAATCCTACACAGCATCTGGAGACTCAACAAGCACTAGTCAAACAACTAGCAGAAATTTTGGAGTTTGTCTTAAAGTTCGACGAATACAAGGTAGTTGCTCACTGTTTATAAGACTCTTAATTCTTCTAATTTTTCTTTCCTTCAATTAATGGTGTAATTTCATAAAACACATCTAATTTTTTTTCTTTAAAAAGGCTGGCCAATGTCTAAGTACAGTGTAGTGTGAAACATTACATCATTTGAGCAACCGCCATGGGAATTCTCCCAGGCGTTGATCCTTTTGGGGTAGTTTTGACGTAGAATACGTCTTACGTCGCGATATGGAGGCTATGCTCAAATGTTGTAGTTGTAATTTTTAGAGTTTCACGAAAACACGCTTATTGCAAGAGAACTAATGAAGCGATTTCAAAGAAAAGTGTGGCCTTTCAAAGATAAAATTACAAACCTATCGACAGATTCATTTTTATAAATTACCAATTTTGAGCCTTTAAAGTGCTCTAGCAACTTATGATTTGCAGATATAGGTTCTTTGGAGCAATAGAAATATTATTTTGTACAAATTTTACATAAATTCAACAAATATTGAGCATTTTAAGGCAAAAAATTGTTTAAAAAATATTTTTTTATTACCAAAATGCACGAAAACCGCTCGATTGATTTTCTTTTTGTTTTCTGTAACTAAAAATTCAAGTGTTATCCTTTCGTTTGGTATATGTGAAGTATTGGTTGATATCTTCTAAGTATGTTTATTTTATTCAAATATATGGGCATAAATGATTTTCCATACAGAATCACTTCGTCATCATTTTGGAGGGATGCAATAACACCATACGCAATAAGACCATAATGGCTTCATTTCGCTTTGCGATTGGAAATAAAACCATAATTTCGATACGGCCTTATTTCCAACTGGAAATGGAAATAAAGCCATTATGGTTTTATTGCGCTTTTTAAAATTTTTGTTTGGAAAACATAAAACCAGTTTTTGCGGAGAAGGCTTGGGAGGCGGCGCGGCGCTGTGCGGGGGAGGGAGCAAATGTGCATCCGCCAAGTTATGCACTCGCAAAATTAAAACCTACATAAGTACATATTTTTATTTTCCAATATTCAATAAATCCGGAAATAGCAAATAGTTATTTATTTGATTTTATTAGTAATAATGTGTATCAATTTAATTTAATTTAATTTAAATAATTCACTATCATAGTATCACAAACATACATATGTACATATATGTTTTAACAAAATCGAACAAACAAGCTTATTCGATAACAGAACAAAGAACCACTAAACTTAATTTCGGAACACACTGTGGGTATAATAACATAGCCGAGATATTGGTATGGCTAGAGCTAGTACTTTGAGGTAGCGCGGCCGAAGGTCGCCTACTCAAAAAGGAGTTGTGCGCGTAAAAATATCTATATATATAAAATTAAGTGGCAAAACTTCCTGTTCGCATACTCCTCCTAGGCGGCTTGCCCGATATCAAAGAAATTTTCAGGGGTGATTGGGGTCTGTGTGGAGGGTGCACATAAGAAATTTCATGTGCGTATCTTTGCACGTTTTGCAAAAACAAAAAACAAAAAAATTAATTCTGTTTGGCTTTACGTGTTTTTTTCGGGTTTCTATCATTCCTAGACGGCTTGCCCGATTTCAATGAAATTTTCAGGGGTGATTGGGGTCTGTGTGGAGGGTGCACATAAAATGAAATTTTCAGAAGTGATTGGGGTATGTGTGGAGGGTCATAAGAAATTTAATGTGTGTATCATTGCACGTTTTGCAATTAATTCTGTTTGGCTTTACGTGTTTTTTTGGATTTTTATTATTTCTGTACATATTTGTATAGTAGGGAGATTTTTTCAAATCATATAAATATACGTTATTTGAATATTGAATCAATACACGTTTGAGGAAAGGGTGCGATAGTAGACTCCAGTTATAAGATTATAAATTAAATTTCCAAGAGAAAGTCCGTTCTTTACATATTTTCTAATTACCTTCGAAAATATATTAACTCAAAAAAAAAATAAACAATGCTTCATAGATCGATTTTTTTTAAATCTAACTTCATAAAGTTCTTTAAAAATATTTTGTAAATGAGGCCATAAGAGCTTAGGGGGAGAGTTACAGCACAAAAATACATTTAAAGCGCAGCGAAGCACGCCGGGTAATTGCTAGTTGTTGCATAGAACATACCCGAATTTTGAAAACTGAAATCGTAATTATTTAATTATTGGTACTCAAAATAACTTTTAAAAAAGGTTGTTAGTTTTTTGATGTGTTTTTTTTTCTACTACAGATAACTTTTGAAAAAAAAATAAATAAAAAAAAAAGTTTATTTCCCTTCACGGATTCGTAGTACTGGGGTCTATATGAAACCCCTTTTGACGAAATAATTTGATGATTACCAATGATTTTCCCAAGTGTTTGTAAACTGCTGTGAAAAATTACCGCAACAATGTTAACACACACGACGAGAGTTTCTTTATTCAAATTCCGAACATTCGGAACACATTTTTCTGTTCACTTATTCGTTAGAACGTTGTTGCCGGATGAAATGGGGCGGCAAATCTGAGCGCATTCTTTTCATTTCGTCTCTATTTAGTACGGAATTCATAGAATGTTGCATGAAAATAATGGCGCTAGAGAAACCGAGTAAATTTTTGCAAATTGGTTTGCGAAAGAAATTAAATATTAATAAGCTGATACCTGACAATTTCATTCTCTTCTGTTTCTTTATAACCATTGCTCCTGATAAGCTCTACACGACTTCTTTTCTAAAGACTGAATAATAAAGAAATTCGCCTACGGTCAATTAATAGAAAAAATGTGTGATCCACGCAAACAGTGCGGCCAGACATTAATTTTTAGTTAAAGCGGTTGTAATTTCAATTATGACTTTATTACTCGTTTGTACCAATTTTGAATATGGCTTTGTTTCACTTCTGGATTGGAAATAACGTCACATGGTTTTATTTCTAAAACAAAATGGAAATAAGACCATATGGCCTTATTGCGTATGGAATTATCGCACCCCACCCATCATTTTGCAAACGTCATGCGCTGGAAGTGAGAGAACGAGAGAAAAAATATGTGTGTGTAGGTATTTCGGCTTTTGAGTGACAGATAGGGCAATATTTATAACCTAATCGCAGCGTATGTTGATTGCAGTTAATGTGGATCTGTTTTTCTTTTAGTAATCTATGTATGTACATTAGGGTGGTCCACAAGTCGGAATTGTAATGCTCTCACCCTCTAGGAGTGTTCTACATCAAAAAAAAAGTGTACCACTAATTTTTTATTTTGAAATCAAAACATATTTAGCGGTCGCTCAAAGCGCTCAAAGTTTTCCATGTATTTTTATATGGTATAGAATTCTTGAAAATCGATATTTTTCGATCGGAAAACTCTAGTTCTCTTCAAGAGACTTTCAATAATAATATCCAATTGTTTATTTAACAATTTTTTAATACTAACGATTTTTTATTGGCAGCTCCATTACATTTTTCGGGGTTTTTGTGGGTTTCTGGCAGACCTATAAACTATAGTTGCGATGAAAAAATGGGTGCAAGGAATTTGTAATATTTTATTCCACATAAATCTGGGTTATCAAAAATTTACTGCTGTCAAAAAATATTTAATTTCACACAGCAGATTGGCAAAACTGTCTCGCCATAGTCAAAATATTATTCAACAACTTTCCCCATAGAACTTTGTTACTGATTCACACACGTCCTATGTGACGAAAAATTTTACATACGACAAAATTTTCATACAGTTTGATGAAATTGATTACTTGTTAAAATATTGTCTTTTGTGACAAATTGTATGGTACATACGACAAAATCACACCAATCCTATACAATGCATAGTCGTATGTGTTACGACAACTCTTATTGACAAATTGTTTAATAATTTGCTGATTTTTATTCAATAATTTATATCACAGGTGTATTAAAATCAATTTTTTTTTGCATACGAGCAAAAAATAATTCAACAATTTCTGCCTTTTGCTTACTTGCTGTGTGTGTGATTTGTCATATGTCATACAGCTGGCTAGCGTTTAACGTGAAAATTGAGAAATTGTGCCTGAATCTTTAACATCGATTTCCCAAAACCTGCCGAAGGTAACATACGACAATCTTTTACCCAGGCGACGATATGTAGTACATACATACATATAATGTTGTGGTTATACATATGTACATACATATATATTCTACTCGTTAAGTACCTTAATGCCAAAGAAGGAAAGAGTTTAAAAGCTAGCATTTGCATTATTTGAAGTGACAATCTTTTGTATCGGTTGTCGAATGAGCAATGAGCACTGAGCACGTACTAATGAAGATGTTAAGTATGGGCACATGAGTTTAATGGCTTGCCATTNCTGATACCGAAAAGTTATAATGGGCCGTCTGAAAAAAAAACTAAGCAATTGCTTTTTCTTAAAATTGTATACCTTTTACTTAAATTTTGTTTGAATAAATTGAGTAAAAGATGTGAGATGAGCCATCGCTTATTTTTATTCATACGGCTCAATGTTTAAAGTTTCATTTTAACACAACGTGTATTAAACAAATAGTGATACGTTTTTTTTTGTAGTGTAAGTATATATGTCATATTGTGTAGTTTCCACGTAAGAAGACAATTATGTATGACGTCTGTCAAGTTATGTAGTGCCAACTTGATACCGTACACCTAAACTATATAATTGTGATATCGAGAAATTTAGTACGTATTTCTTTTAATAATAATAATCCATACAATTTTGAGTGATTAGTAGAAGTCGATGAATATGAAATTCATTTTTTACTTACATATTTTACATAAATTAAAAGACTTGGCAATATTTTTTGCGTTGGCGCCGCGCTATTTCTCTGTCGTTTAGGTCATATAATAAACTTTCGTCTTCGGAAGGCTAAGCCGATGTAGGGGCCCCAGCTGGTTGACCATCGATATCCGGTATTATTAAAAACTTTCTCGCTGACAGGGAAATACTTCGGGATCTTGTCGAGCTGTACTTAAAGACCCAGAGTATTAAATTTTAGTCGAACGCTGATAAGTATTATTAAGGAATTAGCACCTAATTTAGGCACTTTTTAGGGCCATCAAAATTAATTTACGTGCTCACTCGGTTTCCGAGGAAATCGCAAAAATGTGTTTGGGTCAGCTGGCGTGTTGTCGCCATAGTGTCAAATTAGGCCGACATCAAGGTGTATTAAACAAGGTGGTGTTGGGGCGACAGCTGAGTTTTTCGCCGCGGAGACCATTACGTCAAAATGATGTGTTTGTTGTAATTCATACCAATGACAGTATGGACATCAGCGTATAATTTGTTAGTGTAATTTTTTACTTATATACGGCCAACACCACCTTGTTAAATACGCCTTGGCCGACATACTAAATTTTTTTCGAAAAACGGTCAACTGGGTTTTTTCAACAAAAACGAAAACAACACATTTTTTCTTTCCACAACAAAAAAGCTACAATTAATGCCACAGTTAACTTTTACAATATCTAAAAGTGTAGTGCTAACTTGACAGACGTTTTACGTGTGAAATTTAAGGAAAATGGTCAACTCAATTTTTTCCTGAAAAATGAAAGCATTTGATAGCCTCCTTCAGCACCGTATTGAATATTTTTGAAATTGGACAAAACTCACGTGCTGCACCCACAGATCGGTAATTTCAAAAAAATCAAAGCTATCTATATTTTGGGGGGAGTAGGTTTTGTCCATCTGAAATCTGAAAGTCCGGTACATGCACATATATAAATTCAAGGCCGTATTTTTGCTTAAATTGCTTAATCTCGACAATTTTTAGCTCCATTGATTTCCTAGGAATTCACAAAAATGTGTGTTTTCAGCTAGCTTAGCGCTGTTAACCTAGCTGACCCATCGTTAAATTTAGGTTTTAAATTTTCGAAATCCATACTGCAGGAATTAGGTGTCTTTTAGGTGTTCTTCAACGCCACTAAAGCTAATTTAGTAGGTTTACGTAAACCTAGCTGACCCACACATTTTTGCGAATTTCTTGGAATCCAATGGAACACCTAAATTAATTTTGGAGGCCCTAGTTAACACCTAAAATACACCTAATTGCTAGCTAATTTTTATTGATTTTTGGCGACTTGGGTCAGCTAGGTTATGGACGTGTGTTACCCATCATTTAAAGGTCTATAAATCTTCTTTTCAAAACATGTTTAGTTTTTAAAATCGGATGCAAATAGTCAAGCTGCTAATAGATAAGTGCATCAAGTACGAACATAACGGTTGTTTTTAAATAAAATAAAAAATGGAGGGTTCAGGAACTATACGGAACTTATTTTTATGTTGTATACGCACATAGCTACAACCTACACTAGGTTTTATTTTGGATGCATTTCATGACTTTTTTTTTGTAGCACCGTGTAATTATGCAAATTAAGTAAACGAGGGACTTTAGACACGAACTTTTCTTGCACAGAATATTATTCCATAAATCGACAGTTCACCCTAATGATAAACGATCTGGAAGTTGAAATGATCCAGCTTTCCTCTGGCTGAGTATTGAAAACCATAGTTCTCACTGAAACGATTTTTCATCGCAACACGCAGACGCCCCTTTCATTCTTAGCGTTGATTTCTCCAAAGTTTTGATCTCGTTTTATTCTCTAGCAGAACGTTCCCCAGACTTTTGTTCTTATTTGATCTTCCTTGGAACCGTTCACGATACTTTCGTTCTCATTTTATTCCCATTGGAAACGTTACTGAAAGTTCTTCTTGATTTCTTGATTTCCCCTGATTTTTTTCGCATTTTGTTCTTTGCGGAAACGTTGCTAAACCGTTTGTTCTCGTTTTTCTCCCCTTCAAACTGCTCTCAATACTTGTGTTCCCGTTTGATTCTTTTGTGGGAGCGTTCTTGATATTACATTTTGTTCTCATG